GTTTTTCGATTTGTGATTTTTGGCAATGCCGGCGATTCGCGAGTCCCCCTTACTGCTGCTGAAATAATAAGGCCAATGATGAAGAAAATAAAATAAATCGTGCACCATCTTGAGCTTCCTGTGAGGACCAAGCCTCGATAGTTTCCTCTCCCCCTCCCCCTCAAGGCACTTATGTTCACTTTCTTTTACCCTTGTTACTAAATCCAGTGCACATCCCCTATCCCAACAAGTCGGATTATCTTTATCAACCATCCTGGGATACCTGTTGATAGACCCTCGCATTCCACGGTACCATGACTCCCCTGAGAGGCTTGTCGTCACCTGTCAGACCCTTGAACAGTTCAATGGCTTCTTCACTCCATTCATGTTGGATACTTTCTCGAGTGTCGGGAGGTTTGATGTGCTCAGAAAGCTCTTGGTCTGGACTTGGCAAAAGATACTTTTCCTGCGATAACCATAAAAAAAATAAATGATAGCTTCTATATTCATCACCATCATCGTCAACAACATTAGCATCATCATCATCATCATCACCACTAGAATCGCTACCATACTAATCATTACAATCATCATAAACATCCTCATCCTCATCATCACTATCCTCCTGCTCATCATTAACATTATCATCATCGCCACCATCATCATCACCACCACCGTCATCATAATCCCCACCAACACCACCATCATCAACTTCACCAACACCACCATCACCACCAACACCACCATCATCATCACCCATGACTTTCGAGCAATTCCATCTCTATCCATGCATTACATAATCTTATGCTACACTCTTACCGGTAATGCTGACTCTTCTTCGCCCTTTTTCTTGGTCCTCTCATCTTCCTCCTCAGGCCAATCAAACACTAAACCATCGCTCATTTCACTGTCCCCTGATTCATCTCCTGCAGCTCGCTGCACCACATTCTTATCGAGCGCTATCTTCTGATACTTCTTTCCTCGACGTCCTTTCGGCGATTTCCCTTTATACTTTGCAGATGTAAACTTGAATAACGATTGCTCTTCTTGCTTGTGTTCTTTCCCATCTTGCTCTTCTTTCTTGCGTTCTTTCCCATCTTGCTCTTCTTTGTTGTGTTCTTTCCCAACTTGCTCTTCTTTGTTTTGTTCTTTCCCAACTTGCTCTTCTTTGTTGTCTTTTTTCCCATCTTGCTCTTTTATCTTGTCTTTTCTCCCATCTACTTCACCACCAGGATTTGGTTTCGTAGATTTAGAGGGAAGATTTGGTGTCACTTGATTGGTATCAACGTCGGCAGGTACAGCTGCGTTCTTCTCCGCAGTTAAATTCTCAGGTTCTCGAGGAATTGGAGCTTCTTCATTAGACAACATTGCTGTGTTTACATCTAAACGTAAACAAAAGCCACCCTGGTAAATAAACCTACTTGGCTTGGGCGTAATGTTTTCCCATTTCATACCACGTGTTATTCCCTTGAGAATATAATTTTTTGTTTGAGTTGTATTCATATTCATGTGTCTTACAAAGGAATCCTAGGGAATGACACGTGGTCTGAAATGGAAAAATATTGAGTTATCCGTGCCCTGACTTTGATCAGTCCAGAGGTTGTTTCGGGGTTCAAACAGTGAGTTAGCCATGCCCTGACTTAGTTCAGTCCAGAGGTGGTTTCAGGGTTTGATCTGTGAGTTAGCCATGCCCTGACTTATATCAGTCCAGAGGTTGTTTCGGGGTTCAATCTGTGAGTTAGCCCTTTTAGTGTTCGACTTGGAAACACCTTGCAGACCAGCAAGCGAATTTGAGAGAGGTCTATTACAGTATTTAATCGATTAGTCTGTTGCTATGGTTTTATCATGCAAACATGACAACGTATCACCTTGGATGACGACAGGTCTCACGCCAGCTAATCGACACTTGACAGCAAATCCAGGGAGTATCCTAAACTTGGGTAGTAACGGTCTGGTATTCTCCATGGAAATCCATTCACAGTTTCCATAATCAATATAAAACACATGAATATCAGCCCTCACAGCCTCGCTATCTTGCGAGCAAAATGATTCCGGTCCATCTCCCAGAGAGGAGGAGATCTTTACATCTATGACCTGCGCACGACACCACATGTTGTCAGCGGTAAACTTGGAGCAACAGTAGTCTCCGATGCTGAGACGACAATCTATGGGGGTGGATGTCACGTCACTATCTAATGGGAAAAAAGACAAAAAACACAGATATATAAATTCCGGTTCGATCTGTGAGTTACCATGTCTTTGATCAGACCAGAAGTCCTTTTTAGGGTCTGAAGAAAATAATACTTAGTTGATAAAGTACTGGCTTGCATAATGTTATAGCAGCCATCTTGGCATCGTAAACAAACCGTGCACAAAAATATTGCGTTCGAGAAATCGTATACGACGCGTAGCATCTGATAAAAATGGTTGAGTTTTTTATACATACTTTTGTAGTAAGAATCCAAGTCCTCAGTCAGTTCTGCGAGAAGTACAGCTTCTGGTGTAACAAGATGGACGAAGAACTCACTAGGAGAGACAGCGTCGGCCATCATGACTTGTAGTAATAGAGGCTGATCTTGTGAAGGAAGGTAAAGGCGCTTTTTGTTGTCTTCAAGACACATGTTATCCATGTCTGTAGTATAATATATTGGAATATCAAGTTATATATTCAACTCGCTAAGCGCGCTCTGATTAGTTCAAAGCTATGCGTCTCAAAAAACTGAGCAAGACCCTTTCAAACTACAAAGTACTTGTTCTTTGTAACAGTAATCGCCTACGGTTCGTGCTACTTGTTAAGGTTAATTTAAACGGTACAATTTTACCTCACCAACTGTCGTGAGCGACATTCAAACGCCAAGTTTAAGCTGACACTCAGGCCCGGTTCATACGTCGAACTTTTCATGAACCGAACCTAACACGTCGAAGATCGACCAAAGATCGTCAAATATCTACTTTTGATTCAGACGTCGTTCCAAATTCAGTCGATCCAACTAGATTTTTCCAAGTCAAGCATTTCGCGATTAAATATAATATATGCATTAGGTTCGGTTCATGAAAAGTTCGTCGTTTGAATCAGAGTAGCTCCGAAGTCGTAATTCCCGACCGCTTCAGTCGATCTTAACGATTGGTTCGATCTTAATATCATGGTTGAACGTAATTGGTTGAGACGTCGTACTTTTCATGATCTTAATTCTTAACATTTGGTTCGGCGCATGAAAAGTTCGACGTATGAACTGGGCCTTACAGCCATAAGCAAGTTGTAATAGACCTATCCCGAATTCGCTTGACTGATCACAAAACAATGGTTTCACGTCGAGGTTGAACTTGATGAATAAAAGAATCAAGTTCAATCTCGACTTCAAACCATTGTTTCGTGGTCAGTCAAGCGAATTCGGGATAGTTCTATTGTACGGTCGATTTACGAAAAGCAAATAACAAATCAAGGAGGGAGGAGTGGGGGATAAATGGATATCTGCTACTAAGATACCAACCTTGCTGTTCGTCCAACGGTCCAGTCAGACTGCTCCCGTCAGGGGGGTGTCGTGGGGACTCTCTTTTCACCACGAGATTATTTTCACTAACATTGTCCATTTCTTTGTTGTGCGTTAACTGCGTAACTGCTGGCTTTACCTCTGGATCTTTGGTACTACGTTCTTTGGAATGATTGGAATTTTGTTGTTGCTTGACACTTTGATTTAGAGTTTTAGAATGAGTTTTCTGCGGATGATTTGCCACTGTCGTGTTAGATGGACTGACACCTCGAATAACGTTTTGTTCGACTTTTGAATCACTTCTCTGCGTGACAGAACTACCGTGTGTCGCGAAACTCTCCCTTATCACAGAACAGCTTTTCGTGATAGCACCAGCTTGTGTAATGACAGGGCTATCTTGCGTGACAGACCTACTCTGTGTGACAGGACCCTCCTCTTCTTCAAATACAGGCATTGCGCAGCCCTGTAGACTTGCAACACTTATGCTACTACAGGAGCGTGACAAAACGCCTTCACTAAATCCAGACCGTGGACTGGTATTCTTGCTATAATCGGGCTGTGTGGTCACTTGATCAACACGCTGCGCAAAACCTTCAATAACCATGATATTTCCAATACTATACCGCAGTCCTGGTAAAGTGCTATCATTCCCTTTTGTTTTGGAGGTTTTTCTTCCTGACGGCGGAAAGTATAGATCGACCATGATGAGAGGATCTTCATCAGCCTTCCTTGGGTAAGCCAGTAGTTTTGTACCAGATACTTTGTTTTTTAGCCATTCGATTGCTTCTTCTTTCCACACTGAATCACCTACAGAATAGAACACAACTGTCAGAATATTGCTTAACGTCTATAAATGAGACGGGACCGCCATTTTACGCGGTCATCCGAGCCACCATGATTAACCATGTGCACATGTTTTTAGAGCAAAAACGGCACCTTCTACTCAGATATTTTACGATCCTGAGTGTTACGGCGCGCAGTAAAGCCTGATTAACACGAGCGTTACTGTAGTTCACAGGTACTTTTGCTTGCGTTTGCGTTACTGTAGTTCAAACGTACTTTTGCTTGCGTTTGCGTTTTCTCCGGTTTTTACATTAAAAACGCAAACGTAAGCAAAGGAAAATGAAAACGTTTCCATTCCTTGCGTCTGCGTTACTGTAGTTCACAGGTACTTGTTGCTCTTGCGAACCAGGCTCGAGGGTGAAGTTTTTCTTTCTTAGGACATCAAAGCATTGTTCATCACGCAATCAAGACCAGCGGCACGTTTGGCGCATGCGCCTTTACCTTGTGACTTGACAGTATTCTGGACCAGCGGCTTTACCCCAGCCAGCGCACAGCACAGTGCCTGACAGGGAACCACAGCCAGGTTCTCGTCCAGTGGTCTTAACCTGCTCAGAGGAAGCCGTTCACAGTTACCATCATCAATACACAGGACCTCTACCTCTAACCCAGGGTATGAGTTATCGAGACTACTGGTACTGCTGCTGCTACTATTTCGTTGACGACGACCTGTTTGAACAGATAGATCCTTCCGTGAGACAAACACGACCTTGGACAAACCATTTTCTAGTTGCTGGTAATGAGATGCAGTGGGAGTGCTTGCTCTCACGAATACGACCCTGTTGATCCGCGGACTCGGTGTCATATGTGAGTAGAGTTGTTTGTTGGTTCTCTCCTGTTCTTCGAGGGTGTTTCTCCGGGTTATCCTTTTTTCCTCCCTCCGTAAAAATCAAATTCTGAATTCCAATTCTTTAATGGGAAGAGGGGCCACAGGTTTGTTAGGCAATGGCTATTAAACACTGAACGACGATTTAATTTCGATGTTCTAAAAGCTAACCACGTATGTCATATCGATGCATGTCTATAAAAACAAACCTTCAGTTTGTTTCATCGGGTCTTCTGATTGGTGAAGACCAACAACACGTGCTCTGTACCACGTGTCATCAATAGTAAACCGTGCACAGCAATACTCTCCTACTGAGGGGGGTGACGACAGGCCTCCTTTGTAACCCGATGCTGCTGCTTTGGCGAACTGCATGCTGGGAAGAAAACAAGATTATTAAAAATAAGCCAGGTCGTAATTTAAGAATCGTTTCAAGTGCGCATGCGATTTTATTCCGAATTTCTCACTTTTCTTTTGTTTAATTAAGAACAAACGATGGTTTAAACGAAAGGTGAGAAATTCGGGATAAAATCGCATGCGCACTTGAAACGATTCTTTTAAGAATCAAAAACAACAAACTGGTTTATCAATCAATGTTATGTATTTATAGATTGAATTTGAGGTCATATACGTTCTACGTTAAATGTTCTACTTTTTGATTGGTTAATGGCCCACATCACTCTGTCCCAGGTAGCGCGCTTTCATTTTTGTTGACTCTACCAATAAAAATGAAGCCAAGGTTTGTTTCATTGTCGTTGTTACAAGTCGTTGTTGCTGTTTTTGTTTTATCGCCGTTAATTTCTGGACAAAAAAACGGCATGATTTTATGGTTTCTTTTTGCGCCTTTTCAAGGAGTTGAGTAGTTCAATATTGTAATATCAATGAAAATACAACAAAAAACGACAAGTAAATGAAGCTTAGGAGATGAAAATGGTAGAACAAAAGAGAGAACGAGGGAAGGTGGAAGGAAGAACGGAAGGGAGGAAGGGAAGGAGGGAGGGAGGGAGGGAGGAAGGAAAAGANGATGCTGGAGAATGACTCTCAGAAACAGAGCAAACCTTTTCTCCCTTTGCCAACGCCAGACCCTTCAAGATTCTTGAATGCAGTGAACTTGGCTGTAGATCTTCCACGCTGYTTGGTTCTGGAAGATGAATTTGTGATTTGCATCGAGGACACTTGAAGACGTTGACTWGGTCGATGAGCTCGGCGTGWCTTCCGACGCAAGGCTTACAAAATGTATGGAAACATGGAAGRATCTTCGGTTCWGTWARWGTATCATTACACAAGGAGCATTGGACGTGCTTCTTCAGATCTTCCAGGAAAGATTCCATGTTTATTAAGGGAGTTATCTAAAGACGCGTCTTTCGTCTGTCGAGCAGATGTTTCTTTCCTAGAAATAGTGTCACGCTAATGAGAGCGGAAACGCAATGATACGTCACAAATGGCAGCCATAATAGCATCTAAAATAGGTTTTGGGTCATGCAACGTGGCCCGCCATATAGAATTTATTCGTTCTCATTCTCTATATCGATTCATAGGGTTAAAGTCATATTTGGATGTATAGCGGTATTAGATCAAGCCTTAACATAAATACATACCAACGTACTTCAAGAATAATTAAAATACAAATGTTTCATGTGTAAAGAATAGCCCAGCAACACCGCAATAGGCGGGTTTTATCTAAAGGTAACGGTAGTACAACAGTTTCATATCTAACAGGTATTTATGACAAATAACTAGAAAAAACGCTAATTATAAAGAAACATTCTTTGGAGATCCTCTTAGGAGGACTGAGACCATATTCCATTTATAGAATTAAAGTTGTTTTCTACGTAGAGATATATATTTGTGATGACGATGATAGAGAGTTGCTTTGAAAGAGGGTATTCGGTGATTTCTCTTAGACGATTTCATCAATCAAAACTCCACAGATCTGGTGTCCATCTCGGGGAGAACAGCTGTTTGTGGCATTATACTGTTTCTTAGTCTTACTGGTTTTCTATCGATCAAACTCAATACAACTAGACTAGTTTGGCTTCCGATTTAGAGCTGAACCAACGGACAGATTTCTGTCCCAGATACAATGGACGGTTTGTGACTTTTCTCATAATTGCTTGACATTCTTGTTGGTTTAGAGGCTTTGCACCATCACGTGATGGCAGCCATGACTGGAGGCATCTAATCTGATGTGCATGAGAAATAATTCAGTTTCCCAGGGGAAAGATACCCTATTGTTGTGCCTCCTGTTATGGCTGCCATCACTGTGGTGGTGTAAAGTCTCTATATGGTTACTGTCAATCAAAACTCAAAATATCTCTAATCAGTAGTCCATGTCTTCATTTTCAGAATCCGATCTACTTGAATCACTGGTGTCCATCTCGGGTACAATGGCTTGTTTGTGGCTTTTCTTGTCTTGGTTTGGTGTTTTTGGTGCTTCTGGGTTTTGGTCATCCTTTGCTGTGTCCTCTTCGTCTTCTGACGTGGACCATTCCCAACGATCAAGGTCGATTTTGAGAAAGGCAAACTGTGAGGAAAAATGAACGAAGATTTATCAAGAAACAGAAAGAAAGGAAGAAAAAAAGAGGAAGAGAATGGAAGGAAGGAAGGAAGGAAGGAAGGAAGGAAGGAAGGAAGGAATCAGCAATCCATTTTTTCTTTCTTACCACATTTTTTCCATAAGAAGGTTGAATCCATTCCCAGTCGGTTGTACCCACAATTCCCATGGACTCAATACTTCTGTTACTACAACCTCTAGACACTGACCATTAGTGAATGGGTATTGCTTGAGATGAAATACTACAGCAAAAACAATGGGGGGAAAATCCAAGCAATGAATACAATTTTAAAAATCCTAATGTCAATAGATTCCTATTATTAAAAAGGACTTCTATGCAAAAGGAATCAGAAGTGAGAGTAATCATATTAAAAAGGTAAAGCAAATATTTTACTTCGATAACGCAACGATATTAACAGAATGTTATAGCAATAAACGAGTCAATAATCCTGTCGCTAGTCCCCTCCTCGAAACCCCTCCCCCTTTCCCCCCAAACTCCCCTTTTGCCTTTCTTATTTAATACACCTTAATCCAAAATGGCGCCCGGCCGGTTGAAAACGAGGCATCCAGGGCCAAATTTACAAATTTACAGTATTTTCTTATAAATTGATGCTGCAAAAACTAGCGATTTCCTGAATGTAAGAAGAAAAGGAAGACAGAACAAGTAAACAAGTATAAACTTTGCATTGACAACATATTATTTCTTAGAATTTGGCCCTGGATGCCTCGTTTTCATTTAACACACTCGGCCATGCGCCATTTTGGTCTTAAAGCCCCGTTTACACTGGCGACTTCGGCGATTTTTGCTGCGATTTTTGTGGCAATTTTTGGAAAAATTGAAATCTTTTGTCTCATCCTTTAAAAGAGATATTCGTCTAGGAAAATCTTGGTATCCTGAAAAATTTTTTACAAGTAAATTCTTAATAATTATTTATTATGGACAAAATACCAAAAAAAAATCACAGCAAAAATCGCCAGTGTAAACGGGGCTTCTTAATGTATGCTGGGTCGTTGTTTTGGGTCATCTGTTCATTGCAAACAACTTAAATATCTCAAACGCAACTCGACACGTTGCGTGACGATCATAAGGTTATGTGTATTTAAGGCCAAGGGTATCGTAACTTACTAAAACTGACGATCTTTCCGCGACCCTCCACCCTTCCCCCCTCCCACCTTACTCTCTCGCCAGTCGGTTTATCGCGCAATCTTTGTAAAAAAAATTGTAAAATTCCTTAACGAGCAAGGATGGAGCAAGGATCAAGGATCAGTTTTAGCCGGTATTCAAATTTTCAAATATGCTTAAGAGAAATTCTTGTCTGGCGAATATTATTGATAGAGGTGGTGTTTGGGGTATTCGTTTACTTTACTTTTACCAACCACTGTAGAAATAATTGTTGAAACTTTGCACAAAACAAGACATAACAAGTGGACGAGACTGTCTACTATAACATGTTATACATCATAATTTTAATCACGCAAGAAAAGACAAACTATTTTTTTAAAGTTAGAAGTAAGACATCTATAAGGCAAAAAAAATCAAGTAAGCACATTGACTATCTTGTTTGTACGTAAAAAACAACGAATTCAAAGCAGTTCGGCTCTCTGATGATCCGTGGTATATGGAACTACAGACGTACATTGTTATGCAAATAATTATTATAATGCTGTGCGAATTCTATTTTTCTTCTTTTAAAAACAAAAAACGCCACATGCTGAGTGCATGAAACTAAACATCTTTCTGTTTTTCTATTTTTCCGACTTCCCGAAACATTGTTACGTTATTTAGTTTTCTTTGTCATTTTCCTTCTGAATTTCCAAAATTTGACCTTTATTATTTTTCCTCCATGTTGACTTAAAATGGTCATCCCTGTTTCTAGCCTTCACATATGCCCATGTCTCAGCTTGAATAATCTTATCACAACTCTCCTTCTTCTCGATAAGTTCTCTGTATTCCTTCATAAATTCCTTTGCTGCCAAACTTTTATCCTTCAGACGAAGCTGGCGATACAGCATCACCTCGCTGTGGAAAGACTGTAGCCCGATCCCCGCATCAAAGTGTTTTGCCTGGATTCTCGCTGGGTGATAATTTGAACTTGTGTCAAATTTTTGAAAACCACCGAAGACCAAACCAATAACACTCAACGCAACGCCAATTCTTTTGGATGTATTAACGCTAACCGCTAGTCCTGCAGCTGAAGTAGGTAATACTATCGTCGTAAGAATGTCTAGTCCTTGAGCAAGTTTTCGGTAATACTCGCTCGATACAAAATGGCTTTTGTAGGTAATTCTCACATTGTTTTCCATCCGTTCAAGATTTTCATCTAAGCGGTTTCTTTCCAACTCGCTTAACGTCGAAGGTTGACTTCTGGTGTTTCCCATAGCTAATCGAAGAAGCAGTTATTTCACAAGATCGTTTTGTATATCTGTCATCTTTATGTTCTGTGTTCTGGGAAAACACGCTTCAATGCAGTTCCTAGTTTCCAGGGTCTGCTCAATTGATTTTGGACGCGAAAAAGGCCCGGAAACTAATACAATGCTTTTGGTTCCATGTGAGGTGAAATAGTAGCTTTTATAGCTTCTAAACATACCATCTACTTTTCTAAATTGTGTTTATTCTTCTACTTCGAAGGAATAGACGACTTGCGCTAACAGGTCACGTGACCCTTCTTCCCTTAAAGTCAGTAATACATTTGCATATTGAGACCCCTCACAATAACTCGTTTCTGCGCTTCGCGAATCCCCTCCCACCTTACTCTTTCACCAGTCGGTTTATCGCGCAATCTTTGTAAAAAAAAACGATGTAAAATTCCTTAACAAGCAAGGATGGAGCAAGGATCAACGATCAGTTTTAGCCGGTATTCAAATTTTCAAATATGCTTAAGAGAAATTCTTGTCTGGCGAATATTATTGATAGAGGTGGTGTTTGGGGTATTCGTTTACTTTACTTTTACCAACCACTGTAGAAATAATTGTTGAAACTTTGCACAAAACAAGACATAACAAGTGGACGAGACTGTCTACTATAACATGTTATACATCATAATTTTAATCACGCAAGAAAAGACAAACTATTTTTTTAAAGTTAGAAGTAAGACATCTATAAGGCAAAAAAAATCAAGTAAGCACATTGACTATCTTGTTTGTACGTAAAAAACAACGAATTCAAAGCAGTTCGGCTCTCTGATGATCCGTGGTATATGGAACTACAGACGTACATTGTTATGCAAATAATTATTATAATGCTGTGCGAATTCTATTTTTCTTCTTTTAAAAACAAAAAACGCCACATGCTGAGTGCATGAAACTAAACATCTTTCTGTTTTTCTATTTTTCCGACTTCCCGAAACATTGTTACGTTATTTAGTTTTCTTTGTCATTTTCCTTCTGATTTTCCAAAATTTGAGCCTTCACGCACTTGTATGCCCATGTGTCAGTTGGAATAACCTTATCAAACCTCTCCTTCTTCTTGATAAGTTCTCTGTATTCCTTCCTCAATTCCTTTACTGTCAAACTTTTCTCCTTCAGACGAAGCTGACGAAACAGCATCACCTCGCTGTGGAAAGATTGTAGCCCGATCCCCGCATCAAAGTGTTTTGCCTGCATTTTCGATGGGTGATAATCTGAACTTTTGTCGAGTTTTTGAAAACCACCGAGGACCAAACCAATAACACTGAACGCAACGCCAATTCTTTTGGATGTATTAAAGCTAACCGCTAGTCCTGCAACTGAAGTAGGTAATACTGTCGCCGTTAGTACTGCAGCTGAAGTAGGTAATACTATCGCCGTTAGTCCTGCAACTGAAGTAGGTAATACTATCGTCGTAAGAAAGTCTAGTCGTTGAGCACGTTTTTGGTAATACTCGCTCGATACAAAATGGCTTTTGGAGGTGATTCTCACATTTCTTTCCATCCGTTCAAGATTTTCATCTAGGCGGTTTCTTTCCTCGTCGCTTAACGTCGTTCTCTCATTTCTTTCCATCCGTTCAAGATTTTCATCTAGGCGGTTTCTTTCCTCGTCGCTTAACGTCGAAGGCTGACTTCCGATGTTTCCCATAGCTAATCAAAGAAGCCGTTATTTCACAAGCTTAAGATCGTTTTGTATATCTGTTATCTTTATGAGCTTTGAGAGTTATAAACATTCTGGGAAACTAAACACGCTTATATGCAGTTCCTGGTTTCCAGGGTCTGCTCAATATTTTGGACGTAAAAAGGCCCGGAAACCAATACAATGCTTTTGTTTTTGCTTCTAAAAATACCATCTAATTTTCTAAAGTGTTTATTCTTTTTCGAAGGAATAGACGACTTGCACTAACAGGTGACCCTACTTCTACGAGCAGCTGTGTTAAAATGAACAAAAGAAATGAAATCAAACGCCCTTTGGCGAACTCGTGGATACTTGTTGCACTTTTCGAAGATTG